TTTTGCTTCTGAGGTGCTGGTTTCCGGCTCTTGTATAGTCAGCCGAAAGAAAGTTTTTGCTGTTCCCAGTGGGTTGTTGGACAGCCCAGCAATCGAGGGCTTCGGTGATTTCCAGTTTCAGCGATCCTCCACCCCAAAACTCTGACCGCTGTTATTCCGCTCATCCCCATTCTTCTGGTCCCATCTGAGGCAGGGGGGACCCCAGCCCTAAAACTTAAAACCCCGAACCCTAATGCCAAAACTTCTGGTCCATCGGAGGCATTTGAGGACCTTAAACCCTAAAACTTTAACCGTTGTTATTGCTCCCTGAACCCTCATCCCGATTCTTCTGATGCCGAACTTCTGGTCCCATCAGAGGCATTTGGGGACCTCAACAAGATCCGTCGTTGGTCAGATCCCAGCGGATGGCCAGACGGCAGGCTCCTTCGGCCGAGGGGCTCTGCTTGGAGTGTCATGGGGTAGGTATAGTGTTCCCCTAACCCCCCAGGTACCTACCATATAGGGCACTAGAGCTTTTAGGGCCCTATATAGTAGGTACCTGGGGGGTTAAGGTTCGTTTATAAGGGATCTATAAGGGCTCCCTTGAGGGCTCTATAAGGGCTCTAAAAGGCTTCTACTTGGAGGTTCATGCGTATTTATAGGTGGAGTTATAAGTCCCTCTATATAGGCTATATAGTTATCCTGCTTACAACCTACTATAAAACTACCCGTGAACCCCCAAGTAGGCTCCAGGGAAAGGTCACTACGAGGGCTGTGTAGGGCTAAGGGTGGAAAGAAAATTCGGGTTTTGAGTACCTACCTTAACCTACCAAAGCCCAATTTTTTGTAGGGTCTTATTACAAACCCTAATATGGGATTTATCGGGACCCTACAAAAAAGTAGGTTCTGGTGGGTTAAGGTAGGGTTTAGGGTAGTTCGGGTCTGTGGCTAGTGTGCCAGAGGACTGCAAGTTTCAGGGTAGTTCGGGCTTAGGCGCGGTTCCCTGCAGTGTCACCAGCCGTAAACGGCTATTCTAAAAGAAGGTATGAGGTATGTTATTAAGCAGTGCGTAGAAGGATTTTGCTGTTTAGGGCTCGATGTAAGGATCGTTGATCTTCCGCATGGGGGATGAAGAGAAATCAGGGTCAAAACGATACTCAGTGTACCTATAGCCTCCATTGTAGTTCCTTTTTGCGGTTACCTCTTAGGATCCTTAATATAGATTTGGTTAAACCAAAAAAAGGAACTACAATGGAGACTATAGGTACTTGTGATTGATCAACCCCAAACCCTAGCCTAGAGTCACCCTAGCCTAACAGCCTTAGCCTTGCACAGCATGATCTGTGGACGCAAGATACCGCAGCACATGAGTCCTCAGAGCGTTTCAGGGTAGAGGGCTCGTACATAGGTTGATCCCAGCCCAGCTCCTTAACAGACATATGCCAAATCGTGTACGAAAAGAGGGAATTCCATGCGTTCATCAGGATCTGACGGGGGGCTGACAGGTTTCTTAGGGCCTTTTGTTTAAGGGGTTCCGGATGTCTCTGGGAAAAGGCCCTTACAATTTTTTTAGGATGCCACTCCCACCATTTGGGGCATGAGGCTCCTTGATGATGGTCTGTCCGTCTACAGCATCCGGATCCTATCATTGGGGAAAGCATCCGCAGATCCAGTATCGTCAACGAGTCAACCCCAACAGTCCAAAGACCCTCAACTCTACAGAATCTGCCACCATTCCTGCACACCCTAACCCTAAACCCTAAACCCTAAACCTTTTAAGACCCAAACAGTCCCTAAACCGCAAGACCCCCAACGCACATGTGGGAACCTGATGGAGAGACTCCTGGTTCTCATGCGCCTCAGCCCGATACACCTAAGCCCTCAAGCCTCAATTTCTTTAATAGGGTTTAGGGTTTAGGCTTCAGGGTTTAGGGCTTAGGGGTTAGACTTAGGGGCTGAGTAGGTAACCTTTAACCTTTTGGGCCTTATATAATCCTACTATAATTGAAAACGTTAACCTTATTTTGGGCTAGGGTACTCAGCCCCTAAGTAGAGCTTGGCATTCATGACGGAACATAATCAGAATGTGAGAGACAAGAAAGACCTAAGCCCTAAACCCCCAACCCTAAACTCCTAAGCCCTAAACCCTAAACTCCTAAACTCCTAAACCCTAACCCTAAACTCCTAAACCCGAAAAGCCCCGGCAGTTGCCAGGCTCCCCGAGGAGATGGACAATGTCGTCCTCCCACCTGAGGACTCCGCACAAAACCAGCCTTGGACAACTAAGGTTGTAGGGTTTAGAGTTTAGGGTTGTAGGGTTTAGAGTTTAGGGTTGTAGGGTTTAGGGTTTAGGGTTGTAGGGTTTAGGGTTTAGGGTTTTTCGGGTTGGGGTGTAGGGTTTTGGGATTTAGGGCTTAACACACCCAGTACTTTAACACGTAGTATACTTGCAGGTTCATGGGTAGTTAAATGTGGAGTTAATTGGTTATGAAGTTATGACTATAGTTACCCTACTTATAACCTTACGTATAACTATCCATGATCCTCCGAGTAGTCTTGTTTGGCAGTTTGCGGCTTAGCGCTTCTTGGGCAGGATGTGGTTTCAGGCTTCATATACCGTTCAGGAATGAGGGATTTGGGGCCGCAACGCACACCTCCCGAAGCCGCACTGCATGCAGGGAAGAGATCCGCATAAGTAAATTCATCTCCCAAGGCCGTTGCTCTACCAACGAAGGCCCTTTTTTTTTATTGACCTTTTCCCTAAAGCCTTGATCCCTGAAGCTCCGCTTGGAAGATCCAGAGCTTAGAAGGCGTCCAAGGTTGGTTGTTTCTGTGACTTTGAAATTGGGATCCCGATTAGGGGTTGAGGACTTGGCTTACGAGCAAGAGACTGCATGGACAGCTGAGTTACAACTGTACTTTATAGCCCCGGTACATGGTGGAATGGGGTTATAAGATGTTGGCAGCACAATGCTACAGTGCTACTTGGGTTGTAAGTTGCCTGGAGCAAACCTACAAATATCGAGAGCCTTGGGGCTTTTTCGGGGAAACTCCAGAACCCTAAACCCTAACCCCTAAACCCAAAACCCCAAAGCCTAAACCCTAAACCCTGCACCCTAAACCCTAAACCCCAAAGCCTGAACCCCAAAGCCTGATAGATGAAGTTTTGTGTTGAGGACCGATCCTAGGATCCGTGACTGTAAAGAACAGAGGGTCGTTCTCTAAAGTAGGGTCCCCGTTTTAGGTCCCCTTTCGGCTTCCTTAAAGGGATCTACAAGGGTTTTTAGGCTTCCCTAAAGGGATCTATAAGGGTTTCTATAAGCGTACTATAAGGGTAGTTCTTTAAAGTAGGGTCACCTTTTTTGGTCCCCAAAAGAGTATGAACACCCTTATTGAAAAGGACCCCTAAAGGGGACCCCTACTTTCCAGAACTACCCCAGAGTTTATGAATCAGGGCCACAGGAGCCCCAAACTTACATCGGAGAAGCTGGCTATACCCTAAAGCCTCACCACCCATAGGCCCCTAAGTAGTTCCTTTTTGTGGTTCATATTTAGAAGTTTAGAAGCCTATAAGGTAATCCCAAAAAGGGCAACCTAGAGCTAAACCGTATACCGGTAGCTCCGAACTCCGCAGCACAGTCGGCTATGACGATGCAATTATGGGTTCAAACAGACCCACTGTTCAGCCCCTCATCAAAGAACCTCATCCCCGCACGACACAGGCAACAGCTTTGCTGCTCAAAAGCCCGAAGGGTCCTAGGTACTGTTATGGGGGATACTTTCCCAAATCATAATAACATATTTCCCAATATAGACACCCTACATTCTACTTTTTAGGTCCTTTGGACCCTCTGGGAAGGACAACGTCCTACTGGACATCGAGACCCCCGTACTTCATTGGTTCCTCGGCCGGCTGCGGCTTTTTTGGTTGACTCTGGGACCCTTTCTGGGCCCAAGGCCCCGAAGCAAGATCCAGTGAGGCCCTCCAGGCCTTGATTAAGTCCTGGGATCATGAGCTATCGGAACTTTCGCAGCTGTATAAGAGATATAAGATGAGCTCACAGAGTTGTAGGTTGGGGTTGTTCGTTGAAGGCTAGGGCTTTGGAACATATCTGAAATCCTTTCGGCACGCAGGTTCTCTCCGTAGGGTTCATGCAGTTATGCTCGACTACTTGTGGCATGCAGAACTGCCCGCTTTGCGTGCACAGAGCGCGCGCCGCTATTGCGGGAGACTGGTGCATCATCGTTGCGGGCCAGGTGGCAAGCATGCTCCCTCGCGACTTGCAGCAGTTGATGTTTTTGCAGGGTTGGTGGTGGGGACTTTCGTGAGGAGGCTTAGAGGACGAGTCATGCGCAGATTGGCGAAGGGCCAATCAAAACAACCACTGGAAAGCCTGGGTGCCAAACGGCAGAGCATGCTCGATCGACTGCACGAGCACGCCGCGGCCCTGGGTGGCAAGTGCCTGGCGATCAGGTATACAAACACCAATACAAACAGCAAGACAAAAGTCCCATTACAGTGCCAACATGGACATACCTGGGATGCAAGGTCAAACGATGTGCTGCATAACAAGACCTGGTGCCCGGAGTGCGCGAGAAACAGACGGCGGATCCCTCTGCAGCGGCTGCAAGATCACGCGAGGGCACGAGGCGGCGGGTGTTTGTCAAAGAGCAAACACAACCGCTCCAAAACCAAGGTCCTTTGGCAGTGCAAGCTGGGGCACACCTGGGAGGCCACACCGGACACGGTTCTTTATGGGGGAACCTGGTGCCCCAAATGCTCCCGCAAAGGGAGAAAGCGGAAGAAGCGAAGCTTGAAGGACTTGCAGCAGCATGCTTCTTCCCTCGGTGGCTGCTGCCTCTCAACTGCTTATGAGGGCACGAAGGCAGCAGTGATGTGGCGGTGCCACGAAGGTCACAGATGGCAGGCAAGCCCTAACAGCGTCTTGAACCAGGGAACTTGGTGCCCAGCTTGCGCGGGGAATGTTCTGCTGGATGTGCGTCGGCTGCAAGAGCATGCCATGCGTTTGGGTGGCGAGTGCTTGGCAGCAGAAGATGTCAACAACTCTACAAAAGTGGGCTGGAAGTGTCAGCACGGTCACATGTGGCAGGCAAGACCTAGTGATGTTCTGAACAAGAACTCTTGGTGTCCCCATTGCAGGAAAATCGGTCTACCACGCCTCCAGGTCCATGCTGCTACACTCGGTGGAAGGTGCTTGGCCAAGTCGTACAAGCATAGTCGTGACAAGCTTTGGTGGGAATGCGAGCTGGGACACAGGTGGGAAGCCTCTGCCAGCAACGTGCTGCATGGCAAGACGTGGTGCCCACAGTGTGCAGCCAGCATCTGGCGGACGGAGGCGGACATCCGCAGCATCCTGGAGACCATCTTCCATCCGGCTGATTTCCCATCTTGTTACCCTCCTTTCCTGAAAGGCTTGCAGTTGGATGGGTACTGCCTTGACTTGCAGTTAGCCTTCGAGTACCAGGGCGAACAGCACTACGATCCCGAGAACTATTTCCACTTCGGTGATCCTTCCAACTTCCACGCCCAGCAGGATAGGGATGCTAGGAAGGTCGAGCTTTGCAAGCATGCCGGGGTGCGACTCTTGATCATCCCATGTTTCGTGAACGACAAGAGGACCTTTGTCCTGACAGCCTTGCTGCAGTGGTTCACCTGGGCTCAAATCGCACAGCCGGAGCTGCCCGGCTGACGGCTACCCGAATTTATGGACTGGCTTTCGATAACTCACACGGTGAAAGAAGTCATCGCATACCTACCCATCTTGACTTCCAGGTGATGTTGTCGCTGGTAACCTTGATGCTTTGGGCATGCGTTTGCGGCCTACGGCAAAGATATTCAGGACAAGTCCACCATGCCGCAGGGTTTCGTTGGGGCTTGTTGGGCTAAGGAAGCTGAATCTAAGTTTTCGCTTTGAGGACGTGCATTTATAGGTGGCCTGACTAGTTGTACTGCGTTTTGCAGTTGTCTCGTGCACAGGCGTGCCCGGCGAGCAGCAGTAAGCGTTGTCGTTGTCGTAGTAGCAGTAGTCGTCGTCGTCTCCCTTAACTTCAGGAACCTTTAGATTTAGGATGATTTAGGGTTTAGTGCACATCGTATTTAGGACCATTTAAGATGAGGTATGTTCTGTACAACAGCTGACTTAAATTTCGCTAATATGCAGTATTGCCTGAGACTAGATGTAGCACCCTCCCTGAAACCTGTACACCACCGTACTGCAGCCTCACAATACCTTTACAAGGCCCAACAGAAGCTTAAAACATGTATGCTACCTTGCCTTAAGTTCCATAAGACACTGATTGACAACCCTCTTTCCCTTCAGAAGATTATAGCACGAGCGGTCCAAAGACTAAGGTCCATGAAATGAAGGGATCTGTTCTTCGCGGCCGACATTCTGCCCCAAACCCTGAAGCAGTTTTGAAACTCTTAGAACATCATTTATGAAGTCCATATGACAATCCTAGAAGAATCCTACACACCCTCACAAGCTTTATAGAATCCTACGAAGCCCTCCAAAATACTCGAAACCAACAAACTCTTTCACATCCTAAGAATCCCCTGAGCAAGTGTCCAAGCTGAAAAACCCGTATAAGCCTTAGAAAGTCTACATTGCTTAACAGAACCGATTGGAAACCGCATAAAGCCCAAGAAAGGCCTAAAACCCAATAAATACAGTACCCTGAACCCCTAAATAACTTTAAACTCTAGACAAACCCTAAGCAATAAACCCCAAAAGCATCCTAAGGCCCAAGAAAAACCCCAAAGACTCCAATATCCCTGAATTAAGGAATATATACCTTAAATCAAAGTAGGGGGATCCTACCATAATTTAAGATATTCAAGGTATATTCGTTAATTAAGGAATATTGGAGTCTCTGGGTCCCCAAACTCTGAAGCCCTTCCAAAATTACCCTACTTATAACCCTACTTGTAACTACCCATGAACCTCCAAGTAAAGCCTTGAAGCCCTAGAAAAACCCAGGCTGGAGATCCCAATACCCCTTAATTCAGGAATATACCTTAATCTATAGGGGCCTCAATACTATGATTTAAGGGTCTGTTCCTTAATTTAAGGGATATTGATTGGAGTCTCTGGGACCCAGGCTGGAGACAGTACCCCTAAACCCCTAAAGCCTGAAAGCCTTACAAACCCTAAGCAATAACCCCAAAAGCAGCCGTAAAGCCCACTTTAAAACCCAGGCTGGAGATCCAGGGTCGTCTGGAGTTTGACCGGGAGGCCCCTGGGCGCAGGATTTCCCCTTGCTGTTTTTGCGGGGGCTCGGGTTTCGGGGTATATGAGTAGGCAGGGCTCCTTTAAGGGCCTTTTTTTTATAGCGTGTAGGAGTCTAAAAGTAGGGCTAACATAAGTTTTTTGGTAGGGTTTAGGGCTTAGGGTTTCCTTGTGTTTTTAAAACTCGGGCGGTCACAATAGGGTGAAAGTAGGAGCCAGAAAGTTGGAGCATCATTATCACCATGCCCTTAAGGCAAGTATAGAAAATCCAGGAAACCACCCCTACTCCATGTTCCAACTTTCTGAGGTTTACCATATAGACTAGACATTATTGTAATTAGTATAGAAACTCCCAAAATGATCCTTCTACAGGAACCCTTACAGTAGCTTTGTAGGTAGGCCTCACATGTCATAGATAAAGGTTTGAATTTCATAGTCTGCACAAACCTGAGCCCCGGATACGAACCTTGCGACGGTTCGTGTTTTCTCCTGAAACCCTGTAGTTGCTCTTTTCCCTTTTAAGGAGCCTTGGGACATGCCTATATGTATGTCTGTGTGTATATGTTTGTCCCTTTTACTTAAGCGTAAGGAGACTGTAAAGGGTCCAAGATGGAGTGCATGGAGCTTTGGGGTTGAGGCCTTTTCGGCTTCAAGGTGAGGGGTGATTAGGGGTTTAGGGTTTAGGGTTTTAGGGGTTTAGGGCTTTAGGGGTTTAGGGTTTAGGGTTTCGGGTCTAGTTGAGGGTTTACGGTCTAGGGCTTAGGATGCCGCAGTTGGGGGGGTTTGACCCTGAGCCGAACTGCGCAGGTCAATGCGACCTTGCATGCCCACTCGGTGAAGGTCTGGGGCATTCTGGAGATGGGGCCACTCATCTCGCGTGATGGCACTGCTTCAATGTAGCATGTACCCATAGGCCCATAGGCTCCTTTTTAGTTCCCCTTTGGGATTACATTATAGGATTCTGAATACGAACCCTAAAAAGGAACTACTTAGGAGCCTATGGGTAAGAAGCAAATGTAGCGCAGTGGCCTTGGCCAATTTCGTAATGCGTCCTCGACCCTGGAATCGTCCTGAAGACTCTACGGTACGGTGCATAGTTCGATCTTATAGGTTGCTGACTTCCAGTTCGTGATTTTTCCATGTTCGGCTTGCCTCCTTGCGACTGTTTGTGGGGTTCAGGGTACTAGACATCCCTGGGCGTTGAGGCCAATCCCGCTGATAATGAAGGCCGGAATAGTACGCTGGAATAGTTCCAAGAAGTTAGCTGTAGCTTACAGCTTACCCCACTACCCCATTCCAGGTGTTATAAAACTCCAAAAACACTGTTGGAGGGATACCCATGGCCCATAGGCTCTAGTAGTTCCTTTTTGTAGTTGGCATTTAGGAGCCTATAACGTAATCCCCAAAAGGAACTACTAAGGAGCCTATGGGTAAAGCACACAGACCTGAGCCCGAACTAGCAAATCTTCAGCTAAGGACCGTGGAGCGCCCGATGCCTCCAAACGTGAAGGCCACTGGGGGTTTGGGGCTTTCGGATTCAAGATTTAAGCTTTCGTGGTTCGGGGTTTAGGGCTCAGGGTTTAGGGTTGAGGTTTCATGGTTCAGGGTTTAGCCAGATTCTAAGTCAGTTTCCTCGGATACTCAGGGTCGCAAACAAGCCTTGAGAGTGCAAAGCCCTGATTAAAACGTCCGCTTTCTCTAAGGGCCTTGATATCAGGATCCGTGTTATGACCCTTATGAGAGAGGCGTGTGTTATCAATCAGCGGTCTACAGTCTACATGACATTACTGCAGCGAGCAGCAAAGAAGCGTCATGCTGGATCCATTTGAGGGGATCCAAGTACCCAGACAGTCGGGTCTTGGATCCTAAACCCTAAACCCTAAACCCCTAAAGCCGCAACCCCACAACTCCAAACCCTAAACCCCTAAACCCTCAACTTTACAACTCCAAACCCTAAACCCTATAAACCCTCGACCCCAAATACTGCATGATAAAAGGCCAGAGTCCGTGAAAGTCTTGGCACCTAGAGCCCTACAGCCGGAGCACACCGGGAAGTCTGGGACTTGCCAGAATCTCCACCTCAATGAAGGAAAAGTATTTAGGGGTTTAGGGGTTAGGGGTTTAGGGTTTAGGGGTTTATAGGGTTTAGGGGTTTAGGGTTTAGGGTTACCAGAAATCAAAACAAGATATATGATAAGGATCCCCCCCTCTATGCTTTACCGCTCTTAGGTATCTTCCTTAATTCAGGCAGAAACTACTCTCAAAAACCATGGGTAAGGATCCCAGTTGCAGTTTAACGTAGCGTCCTTAGCTAAGGGGTTTTGTCTCCTTTGGCAGGGAAATCGGGCTTGGGGCTCAGTGTGAGGCATGTATGGGCTTAGGGTTTAGGCTGTAGGGTTTAGGGTTTAGGGGCATGTATGTATGGGTTTAGGGTTTGGGGTGTAGGGTTTAGGGGTTCAGGGTTTAGGGGCTTAGAGTTTAGGAGCATGTATGGGTTTAGGGTGTATGGTTTCGATCTTGGTGGCCGTTTCCCGATGGCCAGTAGACATAGAAGTAAATTAGGGCCTTGATGTATCGCCATACGAGTCTATAGGGAGTATACGGGAAAAAAGAGCTGTTGAGTCTTCAATCTCTATGCTGGGCTTTCGGCTTCAGGTTTTTGCTCTGTCGGGTTTAGGCTTTCGAGGTTGCTGGGTCGCAAGATGTATGAATTGAACGGCCAAATGGGCATTATCCGCAGTCCGGCAGTGCAATGCACGGAATAAGCCACACATTCAACTTTAAGCTAAAGCTGCGGGCAGGCAAAGCCTACACCATGAGCCGTGTGAACCCCAAGACTTAAACCCTAAACACGGACTATAGCATCCTTATAGAAGCCTTATTAAAAGGGACTCTCCGAAGGAATCCTTAAGGGACAACACTGGACAATGAGCCTTCTACATCCTGTGCCCTAAACTTTAAACCCCCAAACCCTAAGCCCTCTAAGCCCCAGAAGCCTTCAGCCCTATTCAAAACCTAAAACCCTCAGCCCTAAGCCACCTTAAACCCCAAACCCCCACCTCAAACTCCGCCTTAAACCCCCTACACCCTATCAACCCTAAACCCTATCAACCCTAAACCCTAAACCTTAAACCCCCTACACCCTATCAACCCCAAACGCAAGACTCGGAACATCCAGGCCGAGATTGTCCTCTGGGGAGACGAGCAGTCGATCACGGTGATCATGGTCGAGGGCCTTTTCTTGGTGAACAAGGTGGGCTTCGGGTTTAGGGCTTGGGGTTCAGGGTTTAGGGCTTGGGGTTTAGGGTTTAGGGCTTGGGGTTCAGGGTTTAGGGCTTGGGGTTTAGGGTATTTAGGGTTCAGGGTTTAGCTTCGGGTGTATACTGTGGATGATAGAAATCCAGCACTACTTTAAGGACCCTAAACTATGAGAATTCTGGGATATTCGTTATTACTACAAG